ATGGCTTCAGATCTTGTTCTTGGGTATTAGCGGTTTTCTTCTGGAGCTTCTGCTTGTTTCTTTGATATCTGTGAGAGTTTAATTCATGAATTAAGTGGATTATATCAAAGGCTTGTGTTTTATTTATTTAATACAAAAGAAGAAGTTGTTCTTCGGTGGATTTCGTGAAAAATTTAAGCCTAAAGCTTGGTGGATTTTGGAGTGGCTACTTCGTCGTGGATTCAACATTGGTGTTGTGAGATTACGTCTGTACAAGACAATTCGAGGTGAAAGCGGAGTTGGAAGAGGCACATTAGGGGTCGGTTTAATTCGGGCGTGGATTCGCTAGGTTATCGAGAGTTATTACTTGTGTAATTCCTTTGTCTTCTTAGTGGATTGTTTTGTGGGCTTTTGCCCGTGATTTTTTTATTCACAATTGTGAGGCACTCCAATTATGATTTTCCACATTAAAATTGTTTTGTGTGATTTGTCTTGATTGTTTGATTGAGATTGTATTACTGCTTAAAATTGATACATAATCAAAAATCAATATCTAACGATTTCTAGATTTTCACATTTCATTCCATCTACCAAACATGCTCTTATAGATGAATTTTGACACTTTTTGGACACCTTACACTTTGATTGGGCAAAGGACCTCTCTCTCTCTCTCCTCTCTTCAAAATGTCAAGATCCTTCTACTTTGTATACTTAAACGACTTATACAATTCATTACATGTAAATGAGAAGGGTAAATTAGCTCTAAAACAAGTATAGGTGGTTATGGTGGTTATGGAATGGTGATATAGATGGAGATAAAGCTATGATGCAGTAGTTGTAGTGGTGCAGTGGTAGCGGCAGGCAACTATGTAGTAGAGTAGTGGTGATAGTAGTGGAATGATAACGGTGGTTAGAAGTGACCAGGTGGTGGAGGTAACGGGTGTTGGTAGTAATAGTGATAGTGGTAATGGCATGATGACTGCAAGTAGTGGTTGGTAGAAAAAATGACAGTGTTGCTTGCGACGATAAGAATAATAGTGGTGGAAAGTGTAAGGGGGTAGCAGTAATACTGGTTGTAACTATTAGGATGGCAGTGATAATAGTGGCAGCGTAGTGGTGTAGTGAGAGGTATAGGATGAAAGTGCAGTGATAGTAGTGGTGACGATGGTGGTAGTAGTGGGGTGCGTGACATTATAAACATGCACTAATTAAACAATTTCGATCGATATAATTTCTTTATCGAGTTTCACAGCTTGACTAATATTGACGAGTCAAGCCGAGCTCAAGCTTGGATAATTGAGCTCTATAAACAAAAAGTCGAGCTCAAGCTCAGTAAAAGCTCGATTTGACTCGTTTGCAACCCTACATTGTAGTTATAAATTCAATAGCATTAAATAAGTTTCTAATTACTTAATTTTTTAAAGAAAAAATTAACTTACATTTAAATGACACTTATATTTTTAAAGTGGCATTAATCTATAATTATCAAATGGACTTATTATATTACATTAACTTTTAAGTGTCAATTTAGATTATCAAACATCACCTGATTTTTTATAGCAATTTGATTTTTTATTCAATTAAAAGGAGACTCTAAATATTTACTCCAAATCTTCAAAATTGTCTTATGGTTCTCAATTTACCACGTTGAGTCTATGTTGAGTATTTTTAACCAATTTTTAAATTTGATATAAGTTTTAGTCAGTGACTAAATAAATTAGAGCCCAAGGACTTAAAACAAACACCCTGCAACATTAAGAACTTACTCGTACAACCTCTTATGCAATTACAAAGGTATATGGTGCAAACATGTGTTAAGAAAAGGAAAAGAAATAATTTAATGAAATAAACTCAAATTTAATAGTATTGATCTTTCCACTCATAGTTACCACCATAGTCACTCTTACATGTATTACCTCACTCATCTCCCACCCATCCCCACAAAATTGTCCTTCCACTCATAATTCACCAGCAACGGCCCACTTCTTACTTGGATTTTCCATAAACCCTCCCTCACCTTATCATCCATTACTTATCCCTATCCTTCATATTCACTACAAGAATTAACACTTTTGGCACAAAAAATTCGGTCGCTAAAAGTCAATTTTTGGTCGGCAAAAGTTATCCGCGCCAATTTTTTTGGTCGCTACTCTTGGTCGCCAATTGGGGTCGGCAAAAGTAATTCGCGACCAAAATTTTGGTTGGTCGCAAAAGTTGGATTGGGCCGACTAAATTTTTGGTCGCTAAATATTTAATTACCGCGACTAATTTATTTGTCGCTTAACACACTTTAGTTCGCGAAAAGTGATATTTCCCGACCAAATTTCTTAGTCGCCAATGTCACATTTTGCGACAAATTTTTTGGTCGCCAATTATCACATTTTCGCGACCAAAAATTAGGTCGCCATTTGTTACTTTTCCGAGACCAAAACTTTTGGTCGGCAAAAGTGAGATTCCACGACCAGAGGTGTTTTGGTCGTCAATAGATGTATTTTTTGCGACCAAAACTCTTGGTCGCAATTGTCATTTTCGCCAAAAAAATTTATTTATTTGTCGCGACTAATAATTGGTCACCATAGCAGGAAAACAATACACCTGTAATTCCTTAATTTCATTCAATCCATATAAACTGTAATTTTTAAAGCATCATTCAAATTAACTAAATCATTAACATTCGACACAATACATAATTCATTAACATTCGACCAATATTACATATTCTAAGTTTTCATTCACAAGTCACATCCATCTCGCATAACAATTTGAAACAATACATTAATTCAGAATTACAGCATCAGGAAATTGCTTAATCCACTAAGTGCCTAGATAGCCAATCAAAATATCCTTGCGGCTTCCGTGCCAAAGCTTGCATCCAACAAGCGAGTAGTGATGTAAAGGCACCTAATAAAGAGAACATAATTGGAAAATTTATTAGAGAACCATGATAATATATAAAATTATTAAAAAATAACGAAATAGAGAAATTGAAACCCATAGTCGAGGCAATGCTCTTTGCGTATGTGAATGTATTATAAATTCTCACCTTTATTGGTTTTTCAAAACAATAGTCGAGGCAGGTTTTCTGCTACAGTACAGAACTCTCTGTGTCCATTTGGACTACCAGATGAGGTTCTTACTAGTTCTGATCGATTCCTCTCTCCACCTTGATCAACAAAGAAGAGGATCAATCCGGGAGCTGTTTCGTCTACATAAACCTTTTTTAAATTCTCTGCAGCAATCTCTTAAAGAACTTCCACGGGTGGACAATACGCTGACCAGAACTTGTTTAAAATGAATGTGAGGAAACTCCAACCAAATTACATAACCAAAGCAGATCACCAAGCCTAAATTCAAAAATATTATGATTGACTCCATGAACAGTGGTGGTGAATTTATATAAAACCCTAAAAAATTGAGAAGTAAAAGACTCACCATTGTTGCAGAAGATTTTGCACCTGAAAAACAAATATGAAAATTTCAGTAAATACGGTGGCTTATTTACTTAAATCAAAAGGCATACAATTTCAAAGGAAGAAGATACGATCCATGCTTATTGTTAAATATAAGGAGAGAATGTGGTTTTTATAACTTTCTTCCTTGTTTATATGAGCTCAAAATTTATCAAGCCTGGTCATGAGTGAACTCTGGCTGATCTGAAATGAGCTCAATTAATATTGGTTCCTCTAGAGGCCCATAACTACTAGAACAGGGGATCTTTGAACTCCTAACCTACCAAGAATGCAGCTTCTCATTACCGCCATTTATAGACATGTGGAGCTATCTCAGATTCTCAATAACTCTTTCATTAATTCCAAGAAAAAAATTGACAAGAAACATATACTTATGCATTTTGTTATGGTTACGGAACTCACAAATACTGTCATATCAGCAGTGCTCTGTTCGGATCATCTGTATCATGACTATCCTGCAAACATAATAGTAAGTTAGTACTGACTACCGAGTACAATGTTAACAGAAAATTGATACACATCACTGTACAACATAGAATATATAGCGCTAGAGGGAGAGTTCATTCTCACTCAAATTGGCAAACCTCAGATCAGTGTCACAAGTTCAACTAAATCAGATAAAGGAAGTACTTTTTGCAACTTGTCACACCCACTCAACATCTAGCAATTTGTAAGAGAAACACTGTTCAAAACAACACTAGAGCAGCAAAATCCAGAGTCAGGAACCAATTAATGGAGTTCCACAGGGAAGCTGTTGTAGTGAAGCACGATGTTCACGCGAATATTTCTTGGTGCTTTTGCTATACAATATTTCCATTGAACAACTTTTTAGTAAGTGTAACACATCTGTGTATGTTGGGAGAAAAAGAGAAAGCGGGGGCATGTTTGCTTCTGCAATACCATCCGTTCACCCCGGTGTTCAAATGCAGTCACCTCTGTTCTTGCCATAAATAATATTTCAAGACATGACAGTTTCATCAGAGTCAATAACACCATTATATGGGCAACTTTGACATGGGGATGCAAACACAATCTATAGGAATCAGTCACAGATGAACTTTAATTCTATAGATCAGAAAGGCTGCATAATTGTTGCTTAGAAGCTCTTTCCTATTGATTAATGCTCAACCAAAGAATCTTCTTTAAGGTGGGTAATATGAGGAGAGTGAGGGTTTTGACTTGAACCATTGTGTGGTCATTCACCTCTTACGGAATTTTCCCAGTTTTTTTGCTGTTAGCAATCGACACCAATGCATCTGTAGAGAATTACTTAGATGTGTCTGAGAGTTGTACGGTATGAAATCCCCGACTTCAGAGAGCTTTGGCGGATTGGCAATCCAATCTATGGAAGCATTCTTTGTCTACATTAGGATTTAGAAATCAATCAAGGTGATCAGGATGCTTTGGCTTGTCTAAACCACCTTCTTCTTTTTTCCACAAAGTTGTATGGCCATGGCTTCCAAACCATGGTTGGGTTTTTTACAACTCATTCAAAGAATTCCAAAATCTCCATTTTGATTAATAAATGATGCATATAACAATGATCATTATGTTTTGAATTAATCAACAAACAATGTTCTGATATCACAGAAAGGAATCATTTGTTGCACTGTTTCTACAGCTTCGTCACTGGATATCTGAAAGAATTGCATACACGATAAATAACACACGGTAAACAGAAACATGGCAACCTAATACAAGTATGACAATATAGAAGAATTTGAACAAGATCGTGGGATATTTCATACATAGACAAGCAAATTCATATTCCCGAAAAAACTCGTTCAATATCAATTCGTTTAAAAATCTGTTCAATATTAGCTCTTCATATAATACAAGTTAATTATTTTATTTAATTATAATATTTTAAATAAATGTGTTTCTATATAAGATGTCTTTTTTTTTATATTAAATAAATACATAATATATATATATATATATATTATACATATTAATCAGCGAGAGACAAGAGAGAGAGCGAGAGACGCGAGCGAGAGGGAAGGCAAGAGAGAGAGAGAGAGAGGCTTACGGTGGTTGAAGTCGACTGGGGATGAGGTCGAGGTCGATGCTTCGTAGACGATTACTATGAATGTTACTTAATGTGGCCTACTTAATGTTACTGAATGTTACTTAATGAGGTCGTGTCCATGCTTCGGTAGACGATTACTATACTAAATTTAGAAATGCTACCACTCTTATAAGCCATAATAATTATATGAATGTTACTAATAGTGGCCTAAGTGGTCCCTTTAAAAAATATAGAAACCCACATAAAAAGACCAATTTATAGTCGGCCACTTCTGCTTTTAGTTACACGCACGGTATTCCCAACTACGTGAATTAAAACTAACCTCTATTGATGAACACAATCACTCACCAGATGTTAGATATTATTTATTTCCTTCTATCCCCAACTCCTTTGAGTTGAGACTAAAACCCACGGATGTGAGCAAATCACCTTCAACATTTCAGCTACTGTTGTCAGTTGATGGATTGTCAGATGGTGTTCTTCTGCTGTTCTAAGTTACCAGGTGTATACCATCAAATAAATGTGCTTTCTTTGCTAAATATGTAAAAATTTTTTTTTGGCATTAAACCCAACCTCTCCTGTGCACCAAGCAGAACATAGAAAAACTTTAAGAGGGGAAAAATAGTAACCTCCATTATTGAATGATCTCGTTCAGCAAATGCAGAAGCAACACAACTTGGAAAATTTAACACTGCTTTCTTTTGCTTCCATATTCTGAAAAGGAAAAAATAAATAAATGGAATCAGATTACAAGGATCAATATTATGATGGCCAACCTACTTGAAAATATCCCCATTTGGATGCCTTTCTCTGTTCCTACTGAAAACAATGAACCATACCACTGTTAATTTTAGACTTTACAAGCCAATCATTAGTTTTCATGCAAAAAACAAAGACCATCTTATCTTACAAAAATAATGAGCAAAGAAACCCTCCAGAAAGTGGGAAATGTCATGCATAGTGTTTTATCACTTCAATCAGTTGCAATCTAAAAGAATTAAACCAGTAGGCATTCTTTGCCCAAAAACCTAAGACTTTAGGATAGCTACCATTCCATTAGTGAATAATTCACAAGTTAACTTCCCTGCCAACACCTCCAATGTGAACACATGTGCTGGATGTAGAGAGAGAGAAGAGAGCTATACCTTTGATACCTCTGCAGCATGTAAATCAGCCAACTGGCCTTGAGACAAAATAGGAAACATGTAAGATTGTTGGCAGTAGGAGCTATGCAAGTGCTTATAAAAATAAAAAATAACAAAGTGAAAAAAGGTAAGGAGCCTCACTTTGATATATGGTAAGCTTCCGAAAGCTCCTCTTGGAGATTTAACTTCTCTCTAGTGCAAGCAGTTAACTTCTTTTTCAAGCTCTCAATCTCCTGCTCAAGCCAGCTGTCCTGATGGGGGGGATAAATCACAATGCATTCTTATTTCCAATTTGAAAAGATAATGCCAATGCATACCTACCAAAAAAATATTAATGATAACAACTATCACTTGATGGACTTGAGATAAATATATACCTCTGAAAATGCATTCGAGTAGCCACAGCAGGTAACCAGGACTATAGCTTGCTGCATACACAGCTGTTCAATGTCTTCACGTAACTCATACGCTCTACAAAAACAGTATGAACACATCAAATTAGAATGTCAGCAGCTGAGAGGGGGCAAGTGAATTAACATTACATCTAGTGAGCAACTTATAATTCTTGTGCATTGTATTAAGTTGGTAAACTATATAGTGCAATGCAGCACATCCTGCCACTGTCTCCATCCACTCAATTAAGCCAGGATGAAGACACAAGTTTGGCTCAAAAGAAACAAAATGATTAGGTTCTCAAAATCAGTTATTGGAAAATATTTGGATTTCAGATATGGTGCAGTGCTTAACAGGATTGCACAGGGAGTAGAAGCTCTTGTTTTTTGGCACAGAAATGTGAAGTATCCAAAACAAAATCAATTTGATGCAACTAAGGAATATGCAATGATGGTTGTAGAAATTCGAAGATCTCTTTTCCCGTCTCTTTCATATGGATTGCATTTAAATGTAGAAAAGTGATAATGATACTACAAGAGATAAATTGAAAGCAATTGAAAATTGAACATGCAGACAGGCTAAATTAGCTAACCAACAGGTCAGTTGGCCAACCGGGAGATGCTTTTCAAAAAAGAGTGAATAAGGATCTGTAATAATACTCCCAGGGGAGGAATTTTGAAACACATTAAAGAGGAAAATCTCTTCAGAGAAATTTTCTTTTAGCAAAAGCTAATACTAGACTTCTCTACTAGCTCTCTGACTCAAAGTTTAATGGAATCTAATTTTTGAGATGGGCCACCAAGTAAGGAGAGTAAGTAAACCCCAGAACTTCTCAGATGGGCCACCAACATCTTTGTTTAACACATTTCAATCATGCTGGAAGGTCAGTCACTACTACAACATATGACCACTCAAATTCGGAAAAATTCAAATCAAATTCTAACAAGCACTATAAATATAAACAATAATAATGAACATTCTCATCAATGTCCCCTCACAGAATGTTCCATGACCAAAATTCTATATAGGACATGTCCCATTACCAAGTATTAACCAGTCTTCATGTTTCCTCATAGAATTTTCTTTATGAAAAGGCAAGTACATATTATTTCCAAAGTATTTGTTGGTAACAATTCAAAAAATCTCACTCCTACGTAACGATTTATTTTCTTATTCACTATTTAAACATTGTCATTACAATCCAAGGAAAGGAATTTGGGCTTACACAGAAGTAGTATAATCAGAAATGGAACTGTATACATAGCAAATAGGTATTTCTTAAAATAAACATTAGAATATTTCCCTGGCCTAAAATATGAGGAATAAAAAAAGAATAAACAACTAAAGCTTAGATGCTGTTCATGAGTGAAAATAAATAAATAAATAACCCAAAAATAAAAATTCTATTACAATAAAATGAAAAACAAAAAAACATATCATTTAAACATTTACCTTTCATGCCTTTCTTTTGCAGGCATCAACGCCCTGAGTGACCTGAGTGATTTCACGGCTGACTCAATCATATCCATCTCATACTCTACTTTCTCATTTGTCCAGCACTGCAAACAGTAGAACAAAGGTTGAGGAGCAGCATTAATTGATGTTACTTTCCAGTATTAAGACAACTTATTACCATTATAAATGATAAACAACCAAAACAAACAGCAATAGAACCCATCATCCAATTAGTTATTCCAGACACACCGACAATGTGTCTTGTGCATAACTCCTTTCAGAAGCAAATGCTTGAGCATCACTGGCAAAGTAGGGCTTGACGGCTTCAATAAACACATCACGCAACTAGAACTGCCACCATGAATATACTGCAGTATCAACATCAGAAAATTCATACGAGTCCAGTGATGTCACAGTTTTTGATATGGCCTTGTTCAACATGGAGAGAATCCACTGGCAGTTAAATGGCATGATATCTGGAACCACATTTGTTGGAGGGGTGTAATTATCTCCAAGTTTGAAAACACACAAAGCGAAATTGAAATGTTCATGCCAGATCCAAATTCTTAAGAACAGTTTTAAAATCATAAAACTCTACACAGAGGTTACATTTAATGATGTACACAGTACATGGGTGTATCATATACACACAACATACATATGATGTTAACGGAGAGTACAATTCATGTCATGAACACTACCAGATATTCATGTTTCATGAAGACCCACACCCTAAATTCCCAGCACTATGCTACAGATTCTACCAGAGTACAAAATCCTGTGCATGCACACAACACCTCAAGTGATGTTTTGTTAAGCAATAAAACTTGACTTAAACCCTTCACAACTTTCATCCACATTTCAGTTTAGCTATTAGTTTCAACTTGTCTTTGTAAAGAAAATAGCAATCAAGATATTATAGTCAGTAGTAAGTTCCACTAATGAGAATATATTAGATCCTTGAAAATATAGTTAGATTATGATCTTTATTTTTCGCTGCAACAGAGAAAGGTAACAACTATTTGAGAAATAATTGGTGAATTTCAAGATAAATGAGTAAAAGTAATTTATGGTCAACTTTACATAAATAATGTCAAAAGGCCAAAATAGCCATCAATTCTAATAGAAAGGAACCCAATTCAGAACTCACTTTGTCCTTGTCCACTTTTGATAAGTTCAGCTCCTCTTGAAAGGATTTATTCAACTTCAGTTCCTCTAGGAATGGAAAAGAGATCAGGCGAGAAATTTAAGACGACAAAATGTGATATTACAATTGGACATTGAAAGAGTAGGAAAGAACCTTGGAAGAAACCCCAATTGTCTTAGAAGGCTTTTACAGCCTTTACAAAGTTGGAAACCAGATAGCAAGTAATAAGTTCAATATTTGATGATGTTCTGCCTTTGCTATGCTTTGTCACTGGACCAAACAAAGCAATTGACCCATCTCTCAAAGGAACCCAACAGAATTCAACACAAATGAAGGTTATGTAATTACTCCTACTATATGGTTATGATGTAAACAAAAAACCTCAGTTTCAGACACATTAGAACAACATACCAATAACAGAACCGTAACAGAAACCTAAATTCCACATGAAAAACTTCAAAATCAAAAATCCAATTGCTCTGTAGTCAAAGCCCCTAGTTTATTTCTATTGAATTGGATCGGATAGGATAATCAATAACCAGAATTTTTAAAAAATAAAATAAAATAAAATAGAACTCAATATCTTCATTGACCCTAAAGTAAAGATATGCCTGCATTGTATAGATAAACATCCAAACATCAATAATTGCAAAGCAACCCTCAAAGTATCAGGAAAACCCCAAGATCCAACAAAGAAAAATCTGAAGTAACCCTAATCAATAATCATCAGTCGCAGACAAAGATTTAAGAATTGTAATTCGAAAATAAAACCCTAAATCCTGAAGTTACCAAAACCCTAGATCTGTAAATAACCTTTCTCAAATTCAACAAGCAATCAAGGGCCACATTAAAAAATCTAAAACAACATATATATCCATTACACAAAAACACTCAAAACCCTAAATCAATACACCCAACCCAAGATTTCATAACCAAGAACGGCCATTAAAATTACAAAAAATAAAATAAAATCACAAATCTGTATATACCTGCTTGTACTTCTTCTGCCTCTTCCCATCCGTAGTCTCGATCACAAACTTCGTCGAAAATATTTTCGTAAGCTTTGCTCTGTAACCATTCCTCCCACCGGTTGTCTTCTTCATCAAATCGTCATAATTACTACTCGTCATGAGGTGCCCGAAGATCATCTCGGGCACATAAACCCCTTCCTCCTGATGAATCTCCACGGGAACACCATCCCCATTGTTGTAAACACAAATACAGTTCTGTTCCACATCGATCGTCACCTTGACAGATATAAGTTGAAAAAAAATACCTAGATGAATCAGAAATGGCGAAGACGGACGACGGCGCAGATGGACAGCAAGGTTGATTGGCGCAACTGAGCTTTGATCGAATTCGACTGAGGTGTGCAAAAGAGGCGCGTATTTAGGATTTATGTGTTTGAATTAGTAAATTATCCCCTACCAATTTTTTTGGTTGGCTGATGTCTGTACGGGAATTTAGATACCAAAACGACGTCGTTTTGGTATCAGTGACCAAATTATATTAGTCGCTGAAAGATCATTCAGCTCCCGCCCAGATTTTTGGCGACAAAAATTGTAATTTGGTCGCCAAAAATTACTTATTTGCAACAAAAAAAATTTGGTCGGTAATAGAAAAAAAATTTAGCTACGAAATTTTAATTTGGTCGGCAAATGTTATTTTTTGCAACCAAAACTTTTTTGGTCGGCAAAAGTGGTCGGCAAATGTGTAAATTCTTGTAGTGATTGTTTATCTTTGGCTGCATTTGGCCCTATAGCATACATCTTGAGCATTTTGATGACTCTTAGTTATACGTTTACTCAACAATCGTGGTATGCATTGTCTCATGCAAGCTTTAACTCCGCCATGAGCTTAGACGATCTCAATCGATGCAGACATGAAAATTATAGCAAAGAGAAGCATTGCCACAACCACAACTTTGTTGGGAGCCATTTTCTTTCGATTTTGTAATTCTTCTTCGACGTGAATTAAAAATTTATAGATTTAAATGTGCTGGCAAAAGGCAATGGAGGATGAATTTGAAAAAATAAACTTCCTGTTCTTTATAGTTTGCCAAGTTGATATTTTTAGATAGTTGCATTAATGATTAGTTTTATATTAATTTTTCCAATTGTTTTCTTTTTCAATTCAAACTTTTTGAAATGATGGGTTGTGCCATATATAGTAGAAACAGACTTGTACAATGCACAAGCTAAAAATATATAGAAAAAATTACACACAAAAAACCCTTAGAGTTTGCCCTTTAACAAATTAAATTCTGATTTTTTTATTTTTTTCAATTTAAACATTAATGTTTAAATTTCATAACAATCTCATTCTTCCATCAAGTCATTTAATAGAAACTTTTTCTGGCGATACACAAAGCACTCACTTGTTAGTTTTTCAAATTTAATGTTAATTTTTGTTGTAAAGTTGACCATACCATATCAAAACTATCCATTTAATAAATTAGAACCATCCATCTACAAATCTACTGTACGACAAACCATAACCTCATTCCCTTGCGTTTTCATCTCCATTCCAGTCTTATCTCTAAACCCACAGTTACCCACCGCTCAAAGTCATCACCGTCAACATGTGCAAATAAAAAAGTACTCAGAAGGTTGAGCAAAACTTTGAAGAAAAGAGTAATAATCAATGAATGAAGTACAAAGTCCTCTGTTTGGAACAATTTTCAAACGTGATTTTTACTCCCATATTTGAATATGATATTTGGATAGAGTTGTGGAATTATTTTTTCACAACTCTGTAGAAAATTCTGTTTGAGAGCGCAATTTTCAAATTTTTTTAAAATTTGACTTAACTGGTCGTCTCACCAGATGTACTACTTGACATCCCACCGTCGTTCGACCGGTTGACCAGAACAGTGTAATTTTTTTTTTTTTTTTTGGCAATTGATATGTTAATTTTTACATAATCGAAAAAAATATTTTTCGAATTTTAAAAAAAAAATTATGTGTTTTAATAGAATTTTAAGTTGTATGTTTGATTATAAGTCGTAAATTTTTATATCAAATGTCACATCAAAAATTTCATACTCAATTCAAAAAAAAAATTCAAAACTCTTTCACTAAACAAATTTTTCACACTCAAATCATAATTCAAAAACTCACAAATTCAAAATACAACTCATACCCTCAAATTATAGTTACAAAGCTGAGCCAAACACAACCATTAATTTTCTTTGAAACTCTCTCATATTTGAAACAGAGTTCAACACCACCACAATCCGTAATGTTTCGTTACCTCATTTTCTTCCATCCCTACGCCACCCATCTCTCTCTCTCTTCCTTTTACCCCTAATGCCCTATTCCCTTCCTTTGCCCACTCCCTTTTTCCTTTTCCTCCCTACCTTCTCCTATTTGTTTTTTCCTATCGTGACTGAGGCCATTTATTTTCCTTTATTTGATCAAATCTAAAGAGATAGAAAGATCAAGTTTGATCGGGTCTAGGTTGTTATCCATTCCCGACAATTTTGGATTTTCATTCGATTGAGTCATGAAAATTTGATTATGGGCTTTGATTTTTCATCCGTTCCATCTCCTCCTCCAACGAATCTAGATTTTTTTCAATGCGCTCTCTGACTTGTTCGTCTTCCGGTGAATCTTGATTTTTTCTAGAATGATTTCTCTATTTTTTTTAAAACTAAAATTTGAGTGTTGTATTTTTTTTTTTATATATGGAAAATGGGTTTTGAAAATTTTAATTGGATCTGGGTGATTTCTCTAGGTGAATTTGTGGGGTTTGTGAGTTGAAGCATGGTGGTTGTAAGGAAAGAGGACTAGGTCACTGGATGGTGGTGAGGGTGGAGCGATGGTAGTCAAAGGCGACTGGGAGTGGCTGGATAGTGATTGGAAGAGAGTTGTGGTGGCAAATGGTAATGGTGGTGGTGATGCCAGTGAAGAGGTGGTGATGGTGGTCATTAGGGAGTATGTATGTACACAGTACAATTGCGGCCCTCCCTGCTGCCCCATTCAAAACGACGTCGTTTTGTTGAAACGACGTCATTTTACTTTCTTTCTTTCTTTTTTTTCTTTTTTTTTTTTTTTTTTCAAATCTGAGTTTCCTCTCTTTCTGTATCATTGTGTTTAGCCCTAACAGATGATTTGGACGCGAGACAAAGAGAGAGAGAGAGAGAGAG